GACCTTGAGAACAAGGTAATCAGCTAGTGAAGGTACAGTGGCAGCACCGGAAGGGGTCTGAATGGACGTGGGAGGCTGAGGAGGAGATGAGAACGCACTACCCGGAGATATTTACAGATCCAGCCGTAGCAGACTTCGAGGACGAAGTCTGAGATAAGTGGGGGAGAATTGTAACGACCCGTTCCCGGTATGTTAATTCATTAGTAATTGTTTTAAAGTTTTGCAAGAGGGACTCGGCGAGTTCATAGCCTGACTCGCCGAGTAGGGTCGCGACTTCGAGCACGTGTTAGCTAGTGACTCGGCGAGTCCATATCCCGGACTCGGCGAGTCCGTCCGTCTGGGTGAAACCCTAAATCCCCGGGTTGCCCACTATTTAAGTCACCTTATAGCCCCCATTCTCGCCTCCTTCACCCTCTAAAGCTGTGAGAAAACCCTAGTTCATCCTTGAGAGTTTGTAAGTGATTTTGTGTGATTTTGTGAAGGCTTGAAGAAGGAGAAGAAGAAAGGAGCAAGGAGAAGAGGTGGAGTGCCAAGATCCAAGGGCAAATCTGAGTTATTTGAGGTATTTTCGGATTTCCCCTCTTGTTTTATGCTTTAAACCTCCATTAGAACTCTTCTAAGAACTAGTTGATGCTTGTTCCAAGCCTTGTGCTTTCATGAACGCCCTAATAAGCCGAGATAACCTTGGATCTATTCATTGAGAAGTCCCATAGTCCAGATCTATTGCCTTTATGAGGATACTTTGCATATTAACCCTAGATCTATCCCTTTTATGCATCTTTTAGCCTTATTTTCCCTTATTCATGTTTGTACACGTAAAGTTGGAAACTTTACGTGGTAAACCAGCTTATTGGACTCAGATCTATCATTTGTATGTGTTGGATTCAAGCAAAATCGGGTGAAAAACAGTTGCATGGCGGCAACTCGGCGAGTCGGGAAGAACGACTCGGCGAGTTGAGTCGCGAGTCCCCGATTCCTTCATTTTTGAAGTGTTGAGTGGAACCAGTGAGTTAGAGAGTGGACTCTGCGAGTTGAAGGTAGACTCAGTAATGGAGGGACTCGGCGAGTTGTTCATACAACTCGGCGAGTCCAAGGCAATCTTCTTAAGATCAAGAACAACTCGTCGAGTACGTTCATACGCTCGGCGAGTCGGATGAAGATTGTCTGAGTTCTTGGATCAAGAGGGTACTCGTCGAGTCGATGCCATACTCGACGAGTAGCAGCGAGTAGGATTGAAAAGTGAGAGTAGGACTCGGCGAGTTGGGAGGCCCAACTCGGCGAGTCAGTCCAAATGAGAGTGATTTTGACCAAGGGTAAAAGAGTCATTTTACCCAAGCACAGTGTTTAGTATTTGATTGAGTGTGTTTATGGACTTGTAGCCGGGGAGATACAGGAGCAGCAGCAGTTAGATTCCAGAGCCACACACTCAGCAGCCAGTTTACGAGGTGAGTTTCCTTCCAGTAGGGACGGGTCTAAGGCCACAATGCCGGCCCGTTCAGTTAGCAGTAGTTTCCGGACTTTGATCCGATGCAGTAGCTAGTATGTTTGATGCCTTCGTGGCTCAGACAGGATTTGTGTGCTAAGTTTTATGTGTTATGTATTATGTGTTCCGGGCTACGGCCCAATGTAGTATGCAGTATATGTGTTCATGCTAGTTGTTATGTTATGCTACGCTATGCTCAGTCAGTTAGTTCCGGACTTCAATCTGATGCAGGGGACAAGGTCCCAGTCGGTTCCGGACTTTGGTCCGATGCAGTTAGTTCCGGACTTCGGTCCGATGCAGTTAGTTCCGGACTTCGGTCCGATGCAGTTAGTTCCGGTCTTCGGTCCGATGCAGTTAGTTCCGGACTTCGGTCCGATGCAGATAGTTCCGGACTTTGGCCCGATGCAGGGGACAAGGTCCCAGTCAGTTCCGGACTTCGGTCCGATGCAGTTGCCGGGCTTCGTCCCGATGCAGTGGGCAAGGCCCAATATGTGTTTATATGTTATTGTACGGTATGTGGTATTTTGGGGGAGATCACTAAGCTTCGTGCTTCCAGTTTCATTTTTGGTTTCAGGTACTTCCGCAAGCAAAGGGAACGCACACACCACAGCTTTAGCTTTTAGCCTGGGATTGATTTAGTTTGTTTTGATTTGACGTAGTATGATACACTCTCAACAATAAACGGTACATTTTAGTTATTGTTGATGATTTTTCAAGATCCATGTGGGTTTATTTTCTCAGGCTCAAATCTGAAGTTGCACAAATTATGATTGATTTTATCAAAAAGATGGAAATCACGTTGAAAAATCCTGTTCAAAAAATCAAGAGTGACCATGGAACTGAATTCAAAAACAAAATTCTTGATTCCTTTTTAGTGGACAAAGGAATTTCGCATAATTTCTCGTCTCCATACACACCACAACAAAATGGTGTTGTAGAACGAAGAAATCGCTCATTATGCGAAGCGGCAAGAACCATGTTGGCATATGCAAATTTACCTCAATATCTATGGGCTAAAGCTGTTTCAACTTGTAACGACCCGTTCCCGGTATGTTAATTCATTAGTAATTGTTTTAAAGTTTTGCAAGAGGGACTCGGCGAGTTCATAGCCTGGCTCGCCGAGTAGGGTCGCGACTTCGAGCACGTGTTAGCTAGTGACTCGGCAAGTCCATATCCCGGACTCGACGAGTCCGTCTGTCTGGGTGAAACCCTAAATCCCCGGGTTGCCCACTATTTAAGTCACCTTATAGCCCCCATTCTCGCCTCCTTCACCCTCTAAAGCTGTGAGAAAACCCTAGTTCATCCTTGAGAGTTTGTAAGTGATTTTGTGTGATTTTGTGAAGGCTTGAAGAAGGAGAAGAAGAAAGGAGCAAGGAGAAGAGGTGGAGTGCCAAGATCCAAGGGAAAATCTGAGTTATTTGAGGTATTTTCTGATTTCCCCTCTTGTTTTATGCTTTAAACCTCCATTAGAACTCTTCTAAGAACTAGTTGATGCTTGTTCCAAGCCTTGTGCTTTCATGAACGCCCTAATAAGCCGAGATAACCTTGGATCTATTCATTGAGAAGTCCCATAGCCCAGATCTATTGCCTTTATGAGGATACTTTGCATATTAACCCTAGATCTATCCCTTTTATGCATCTTTTAGCCTTATTTTCCCTTATTCATGGGTTGTACACGTAAAGTTGGAAACTTTACGTGGTAAACCAGTTTATTGGACTCAGATCTATCATTTGTATGTGTTGGATTCAAGCAAAATCGGGTGAAAAGCAGTTGCATGGCGGCAACTCGGCGAGTCGAGAAGAACGACTCGGCGAGTTGAGTCGCGAGTCCCCGATTCCTTCATTTTTGAAGTGTTGAGTGGAACCAGTGAGTTAGAGAGTGGACTCTGCGAGTTGAAGGTAGACTCAGTAATGGAGGGACTCGGCGAGTTGTTCATACAACTCGGCGAGTCCAAGGCAATCTTCTTAAGATCAAGAACAACTCGTCGAGTACGTTCATACGGCTCGGCGAGTCGGATGAAGATTGTCTAAGTTCTTGGATCAAGAGGGTACTCGTCGAGTCGATGCCATACTCGACGAGTAGCAGCGAGTAGGATTGAAAAGTGAGAGTAGGACTCGGCGAGTTGGGAGGCCCAACTCGGCGAGTCAGTCCAAATGAGAGTGATTTTGACCAAGGGTAAAAGAGTCATTTTACCCAAGCACAGTGTTTAGTATTTGATTGAGTGTGTTTATGGACTTGTAGCCGGGGAGATACAGGAGCAGCATCAGTTAGATTCCAGAGCCACACACTCAGCAGCCAGTTTACGAGGTGAGTTTCCTTCCAGTAGGGACGGGTCTAAGGCCACAATGCCGACCCGTTCAGTTAGCAGTAGTTTCCGGACTTTGATCCGATGCAGTAGCTAGTATGTTTGATGCCTTCGTGGCTCAGACAGGATTTGTGTGCTAAGTTTTATGTGTTATGTATTATGTGTTCCGGGCTACGGCCCAATGTAGTATGCAGTATATGTGTTCATGCTAGTTGTTATGTTATGCTACGCTATGCTCAGTCAGTTAGTTCCGGACTTCAATCTGATGCAGGGGACAAGGTCCCAGTCGGTTCCGGACTTTGGTCTGATGCAGTTAGTTCCGGACTTCGGTCCGATGCAGTTAGTTCCGGACTTCGGTCCGATGCAGTTAGTTCCGGTCTTCGGTCCGATGCAGTTAGTTCCGGACTTCGGTCCGATGCAGATAGTTCCGGACTTTGGCCCGATGCAGGGGACAAGGTCCCAGTCAGTTCCGGACTTCGGTCCGATGCAGTTGCCGGGCTTCGTCCCGATGCAGTGGGCAAGGCCCAATATGTGTTTATATGTTATTGTACGGTATGTGGTATTTTGGGGGAGCTCACTAAGCTTCGTGCTTACAGTTTCAGTTTTGGTTTCAGGTACTTCCGCAAGCAAAGGGAAGAGCTCGGGGTGACGGCATCGCACACACCACAGCTTTAGCTTTTAGCCTAGGATTGATTTAGTTTGTTTTGATTTGACGTAGTATGATACAGTTTTCCGCACAGTGTTTTCTATTATGTTGGAATACATCACGTATGGTTTTATTATATGACACTCTGATTATGGTTTTGATTATATCGAAAAACGAAATTTTTGGGTCGTATTTTTGGGTTGTTTCACAACTGCATGTTTTACTCAAAAAAAGATCGTTCATTCATCGTAGATTTAATATTACACCATATGAAATTCTGAATAATCGAAAACCTAATGTAAAGTTCTTTCATGTTTTCGGATGTAGGTGTTTTATTCTGAATCTCAAGGATCATCCTTCAAAATTTCAAGCAAAAGCTGATGAAGGGATTTTTCTTGGATATTCGCACAATTCTGTGGCTTATCGAGTGTTAAATAAGCGAACACGAAAAGTGGAAGAAACATTCAATCTCACATTCGATGATTATTATGTTAAATCAAATGAACATCAATTTTCGAATTATCCAATTTTACAAGAAACAAAAATTGAAACTGAATCTATACAAATGGATGATATTGATTATGATTTAATTTTTGGCATCTCAAATCATGCAGTTGATGCTGAAGTTCATGCTCCTGATAATTACATTCCAGAACTTTCAAAACTTACTGATGAATCATCATCGACTCCTCAAGAAGGCGAACCTATGGATGATAGTCCTTTGGAGAGGGAGCAATTGGATTCGAATACTTTGAATGATGAAGAGCATTCTTTCGAGGGGGAGCAAGAACAATTGAATGCTGAAATTAAGGGGGAGCATGTTGTTGAGGAGGAGCATAATGTTGATGATGCATGTTCGAATGCAGGATCAGAATATGATGAAATATTCGAAGATGCTCCTTTGGAATTTGATCCAGCATATCCACCCATGGAAAAATGGACTAGAGACCATCCGAAGGATCAAGTGATTGGGAATCCACAAGAAGGAGTGTTAACAAGAGCTCAAATTCGTGCACAGAATGAGGTATTGAATACTCATCAAGAATTTGTATGTTTAATGTTTTCATTTCTAAAATTGAACCAAAAATAGTTATGAATGCAATGGAACACTCAGATTGGGTTGTTGCAATGCAATCAGAATTGTCTGAATTTGAACGAAACAAGGTTTGGAGATTAATTCCTAAACCTAAAAATGTTTCGATTGTCGGGTTAAAATGGATTTTTAAAAATCAAACCGACAAAGATGGAAACATAATTCGAAATAAAGCCAGACTTGTTTTAAAAGGCTATTCACAAAAAGAAGGAATCGATTATGAAGAAACCTTTGCCCCTGTCGCAAGACTCGAGGCGGTTCGAATATTTATGGCTTATGCAGCTCACAAAGATTTTGATGTTTATCAAATGGACGTGAAATGTGCATTTCTTAATGGAGAGCTTGAAGAAATGGTTTATGTGGAACAACCCCCAGGTTTTATTAGCAAAGAATTTCCTAATAATGTTTATATTTTAGATAAGGCAGTTTATGGTCTAAAACAAGCACCACGAGCATGGTATGCAACACTTACATCATTTTTGAAACAATCTAAATTTAAATAAGGTTCTGTTGATCCCACACTATTTCGAAAGAAAGTAGGGAATCATCTTATGCTTGTTCAAATTTATGTTGATGATATTATTTTTAGCTCGACTGACCCTGCTTTGTCTAAAGAATTTGAAGACTTGATGAAAAGCAAGTTTGAAATGAGCATGATGGTAAAAATCAATAATTTCCTTGGATTGAATATTCGTCAAAACAGAGAAGGGATTTTCATCAATCAGGAAAAATATACGAAAAATCTGCTTGAAAAGTTTGGATTGACGAATAGCACAAAGCTTCGTGTACCAATGGAAACGGGCATAAAGTTAACACCATCATTAGACAAACCTGCTGTTGATATAACGTTGTATAGGAGTATGATAGGTTCGTTACTTTATCTTACAGCAAGTCGACCTGATATCATGTTTTCTGTGTGTGATTGTGCTAGGTATCAGTCTAATCCACGTGAACCACATCTTACTGTTGTGAAGAATATTTTTCATTATCTTAAAGGCACTATTTCGTTAGGATTGTCGTATCCTTTGAAAACAGGATTCTTCATTCAAGCATACTCAGATGCAGACTTGGGTGTTTGTAATATTGATCGAAAAAGCACAAGTGGGGGATGTCAATTACTTGATGGCAAATTAGTCAGTTGGCAGTCGAAAAAGCAAACATGTGTGTCGATTTCCACGGCTGAAGCATAATATGTGGCTGTTGCTGCATGCACTTCGCAAATAATATGGATTCAAAGTCAATTACATGATTATGCAATTAATATGAAAAAGATTCCATTATATTGTGATTCTCAAAGTGCAATAAGAATTTGTTATAATCATGTGCAGCATTCGAAGACTAAACACATAGCCCTTCGTTATCATTTCATTAAAGATCATGTGGAGGATGGAAATATTGAAGTTCATTTCGTGAAAACAACTGATCAGTTAGCTGATATTTTCACAAAAGCTTTGGATGAAAAGTCTCTAATGCGAATAATAGAAGGTCTTGAAATGATCGATGGAAATTATGTTCCGTGCGAAAAAGATGAATACTAAGAAAAAAAGAATGAGTCATAGGCAATGAACAAAGTTATTTAGCATTCAACGGTTACTGTTCATAGTCAACGCTTCGACCGCTTCGAATTCGCATGATTGTCACTGATCTTTAGCGTTACATCAGTGGTTACTGTTCATAGTCAACGCTTCGAACGCTTCGAATTCGTACATTTGTTACTTTTCAAAGAATGTCAAATTTTCATAGTCAAATTTTGTTTGTTTGCAACAAATCAAAAACACAAAAAGATTTTCTTTTATTTTTTCTTTAAATTTTCGAAAAATTAAAAATCCAAAAAGATTTTCTTTTGTTTTGTCTTTAAATTTTCGAAAAATTAAAAATCCAAAAAGATTTTCTTTTGTTTTGTCTTTTAATTTTTTGAAAAATTAAAAATCCAAAAAGATTTTTTATTTTTTTTCTTAATTTTCGAAAAATTCAAACACAACAAAAATATATATATATATATTTTTTTTTTTGAGAATTTTGTTACATATTTTGATGATGATTTGGAAAGGAAAAAGCAAGCAATATTGGGGACAGGTAATTTTTTTTTCGTATGCATCATTATCTTTTTCATTATTCAAATTAGTTAGATTGTCCCTAGAAGCATGCTGCGGCATGTCGACCAAAGCCTCCATGACTCAATGTGTGTGTATGAAAGCCTTAATGAACTTTTTCATACGAAAAATTCTTCCCAATCAGGCTTATATTCACATTAGTCTTTGAGCTACCTTACTCTTCTCACAATGAGTTAAGAGTTTTCTATTTGGTCCAAAATATAATAGAGGTACTTTTTGTGTCTTACACCAATCTTTTTCATCAATACATTCTTACACGATCACACACAAAGACGTATGTCCGAGAGGTCTCTGATCAAACCCATCGAGACTTAGACATATAAAAATTTTGTGTTAATGATCTGACATCATGAGTCCGTGATGAAAGTGAAACCCAAACATCTTGAAACTTAAGTAATTGACGGGGAACATTGTTCCAGATATTAACAGAATCCTTGAGGTTCTGAGTAATACCAACTCAGGCTGATGATTTCGAACATCTGGCATATGACTTTGCTTTTCATCCCAAAAGTGAAAGAGCCCTGCCTCCATTCGAAGGGTTCTAACGGTTACTATTCAATAAAGGGGATAGTGACAGGCTGTGTAACCGTGACGTATGGTATTCAACCCAGTTTTCTAGGAGATGTGACAGACTCTTTTTAACGCATGGCTAACTTTCCGCAGAACTGGTCCGATTTTCAAGGTGCCACGTTGGATTTCATTAAATGCATCCCGCTTCAAATTCAAATCATCTAGCGTTACATATAAAATGGGGTTTAGAGTACATTCTATGCTTACGCGATCAAACACTCCAAAATTCCCAAAATTCTCTGTTCTTCATCTTCTTCAAACCCTAACAATGGCGACTACTTCTCATGTTGATGCTTCCATTGAAGATACATCCTCAGTACCAATTGAAGATTCAATCTACAAATTTTTATGTAAATGGTGAACTTTCACAGTGTCCAGAGGAATTCAAAATGCTGATTGTTATGTTAAAACACTATGTTTTATCAAAAGCGATGTTCAACTCTTTTTCTGTTCCATTATCCTGGCTTTCTCAAGCAGGATCAACAGCTACCTACAATAAAGCCACTGATTGATTACCTTTCTTTTAATCAATGATAAGAAGGTTAGGCTTTCCAAGAAACTGTTTTGCCATATTCTTGATATTCCAAATACACCTCCGTTTCTTGAATTTCAATTCTCTCAAATCATACACATGTTTAATGAAATGGGATATCAGCCCCCATTGTCAAAGATCAGTGATTTTAAGAAGTCTGGTCTTCCAAAAATATGGAATTTTTTGTTTGGAATATTTTTGAGTTGTCTAACTGGAAGAACAGTTGGCTTGGATAAAGGACGAATGGAGATATATGCCATGGTGGCTGGTCTGTACTATGATCTCCCTGTTGATTATTCAACACAACTATGTCAGGAGTTCCAGAAAGGGGTAGAACACACAAATGTTGTCCATGGCATTTCGTGTGCTCGGTACTGGAGTCTTATTTTACAACATTTTTACAACAAGGAAGGTATTTTGGTCTCTACTGAAGAAGAAAAGGTTATTTTTCAGTCTTATCATTTTCCAAAGGAGGTTGTTGATGATGCTGATGAATTTCCAAGTGTTGCTCGGATTCCCGATGCAATGCTTAAAAGAGTGGATCCTTCGAATCCTGTCTTGCAGGCATATGTAAAAACCTTCGATTCTTCTATTCCTACGGGAATTTTATTACCACGCGAAGCAAAGAAGTCTAAGAAGTCGAAGAAAGATGAGCCTACTTCTCCTGCGAAGAAAGCGAAGGGTTCAACCTCATCCAAATCCACGACTCAGAAGCAAGAAAATGTTGTTGTGACAATCGAAGCAACAACAGTGATTACGCCAGTTGTGGAAGAGTCACAAGAAGATGTGGTGGTTCCTTCGAAAATAGAGATGTTTCGAAGAATAAATATGAAATCCAAGCACAAACGCAAGTCTTCATCTAAGAAACTGCTTCGCAAACCTCAACTTTCTCATCAAGGCGTAATGTTTCGTGAGGTTCCTGTTCCTGTTTCTCCTGCATCCAAGAAAAGGGTAGCCGAAGATATGGCGAAACATTTATCACATTCAAAGAAGAAGAAGACGAAGAAGGCTAGGAAGATTGTTTCCTCAAGTGAGTCTACTGAAGAGGATGAACGAGTACCGGAAACTCCAGAGACCACTATTCTTACAAGCTCAATTCCAGAGACCACTGTCATATTCACCCCTGAAGTTTCGATTGCCAAGTCAATTTTTGAGGAGGTACGAACTTCTGGCTTGGGTGAAAATGTTTCAAAGGATGCAGCTCAAGGTTCATTTATCTCTACTCCTTTTGAAACATTTGTTTTTGTTCCACCAACATCAACCATTCCTCCTACTTCAACTACTATATCCCCAACTTTTGAACACATCATCAATCAACCAATCACTTCCATGTTCTCTTCTCCATCCACTGATACCCCCAAACCAACTTCACCCACTGAAACAGATCATGAAGGGTTTGGAGGAACATTCGAAGATTTGGAATTTCAAGATGAAGAAGAAGATTTCCCTGATAACATGCTCATGATGATGAAACAATACAAAATTGTGAATCAAAAGTTGAACTCCATTATTCAATCACAAGTTGATCTTGGAGGGGGTTCTTCAATTTCCAGTTTGGAGGTTGATTCAATGTTAAAGATGTGTGAATCAAGAATAATTGCCAAAGTATCAGGGATGTTAAAGGCTTCAGAAACTGTGCTTATGGAGAAGGTTGACTATTCAGATCAAACAACTGAGCTACGTCTTAAAAATCAACGATCTGATTTTCTGGGAGAAGTAAAAGATCTACGAAGCGTAGCAAAATAAAGACATGTTCTTTTTGTCCAGGAGGTTAAGAAGGTGAGAGAGGATGTGAATTTGAAAATTCAAGAGCTTCATGAAGAAATGAACAAAGAAATTATATTTGTTCAACATGATTATGCATCCTTACATCAGAAGGTCGATATCATATGTGATGCTGTGACAAAATTTGTTAAAATGTACGAAGGTTTGAGTCCAAAAATTGCTCAAATCTCCAAATCTGAAGCTGAAAATTTTGAAGGAGTGATGAAGTTGTTGAAAGAGCTGAAGGAGATATCCACAAAGCCAGTTTCGTCTCCTTTAATAACTCCTGAATTTTTGTCACAAAAATTTGTTCAGTTCGAAGCCATTCTTAACAAGCAACTTGCTCCACTCTTTCGCATATCCAGTCTTCTTCCCACAACAACTGCCCCTCCTGTTTTCACAGGGGTGCAAGGGGGAAAAAGGAAGTCAATAGAAGAAGAAGCGAAAATAGAAGAAGAAGCGAAAGTTGTGGGCAAGGTATTCTCTTTGAACATTCCATCGACGAAGCCAGTGTTTGTGTCTGCTCAACTAGTAACTTCAACAATTGTTACAACATTGACAACTACACGAACAATTTCGAAAGGAATTGTTATTGGTAAACCTTTGGAGTCTGGTGGGAGTGGTTCGAAGCTAAAAGACTTAACTGAAAAATCTGCTTTGAAAGACAAAGGCAAATCATTCTTAATTGAAAAATCCAAGGAAGAAAAGAAGGTTGAAGCTGAAGCTGAACTCGAGAGAATGAGTCTTGTTCAAAGCATCATGACTCAGAGGGATGGAGATCTGAAGGGTATGAACAAAGATGATCCAGCTAAGCATTACAATTATGAAACAATCGAAGTCTTGGTTGCCTTTAACCACATGTACTCATTCGACAAGAAGCCAAAACAGAGTTATGTGGTTACAAACACTGATGCTTGTCAGTTGGATTTCCCTGTCAATGAGATGATGTTCATCATGACTCAATTTAAAGCAAAATGGAATTTCAAAGCAAAGGATGAAGGAACCCAAATGAAGATTAGATTTCATGTTGTTCTGGGGAAAGCACCTGAGGAAGTATGGTCACTAATCAAGATTAAAAAGGTGATTATCATGAAGAAAGATGTGGTCTTCGAAAATATAGTTCAAAATGTTAAATACATTGTGGCCAGGGCAAACGGTAAATCATGAGAATTCACCATTGCTGACTTTCCTCTAATGAACTTGTATGATCTTATATAAGTTGCATTACTTCTCAAAGACAATCTTTCTCCAATTTGCAAAATACTGATCCAGAAGAATTCAAACTTGGAGTTGCTCACATCAAAATTTTCATTGAAAACTATTATGAGTGCCTTGCACTAACTAATGTGGAGCTAGCTACTGTGAAGGGAATGGAAGTTAAAGTTCCAATGGCTTCTTCATTGACTTAGGCTGAGTTAAAGAAGTATGTGATGGGTTTTGAGCATTCTAACACTTCCTAAGTGTACATGCAACCCTAATAACCTTGGATCTATGTTTGCCTAATTATCATGCAAAGTTGATTTCCAAGGCTATGATCCTATCTAGCATACATGGGGAACAATTTTAACTTAAATAATAGATAGAATTACATACCTTGTTGTTGTGGGTGTTCCTTGAAACCTTGTGATCCTAGCACCCCAAGTGTGATGCCTCAAATGCTTCACACAACACCAAATGCTATGGCGTAAACTTAGAGAGAATGTATAACACTCAAAATCGGCTCTAGCCCTCTTGTTTCTTGTCTAACCGATTTTGGGGAGAACACATGAGCTTTATATAGTGTTGACACATCTAGGGTTACACCTTAATGTGTCATGACTCTTCATTTCCATGACCCATGGGTTTGTAACTCCCATGGAGCCTCCATGGACCATCCAATAGGTATAACCCATCTTGATTATCCATGGAGCCTCTTAGCCCACTATATAAGTTATGGATGATTTACATAATCAATCCATACATTTAATTAGTTGTCTTTTGATAACTTAATTAATTCTAAATTAATTCTTGATCCAACTAACTAAATAATATTATTAATATATTAGAACTCATAATATATTAATAAACCATATGTGTTATTTCTCCTATTTGGTTTATCCAATTGCATGGTACCATGCAACCCAAATGGACCATGCCGGGTCGAGTCAAGTATTTACCAGAAATAGTTATGGACTTAGACACCTTATCCAACAGTATGCAGATGGAGAAATATGTTTAAAGCCATTTGGAATTGTTTTTGCTGGGAAAGATAAAGTTGGAAAAGCGAAGAAGTTTTTATTTCAAGCCAGCGAAGTGGAGAGATATTCAACATCTCAATATATGAACTTAATTGTTCGTATGAACCACTGTAAGAAGAATAATGAAGGAGATAAGAAGGAAATGAAGAAGATTATTTCATGGTACACTGAAGTTCGAAGAGTTTTGCTTTACTCCATCACTCTACTTACAAATTGAAGACTTCGACTTTTATTACAAAGGGGGAGATTGTTAGAGTCAAAGTGTTGTAATAGTTGAAGTTTGTATTTAGGGTCTTCGAATATTTCTGTATTTTTATTTTACTAAGGCATAATATTCGAAGCATAATGTTTTAGTCCTTAGTATATTTTTGTACGCTTTCCTCTCCTATAAATAGGAGTAGTTACTAGTGTCTTAGTAACGAAGTCTTTACAGAATATTCATTGTACTCTGTAAACTTTGATAAAGCAATAGAGCCCAACATATCATATTTACATCGGTGTTCAAATCCCGCACACTTACTTTGAATTAACTCTATAATTCATTCTATACTTGATTCTTTGGTTCATCAATCTCCTATGTAGGACTATTCATTCTTCTGAAACTTCTTCATGTAATTATCATCGAACGTAACATAGTAGGTTTCTTCAATCCTTTTGGACCTTTTGTTAAGAACCCTATATGCTTTAGAAATTAGAGAATACCTAAAGAAAATACCTTCGTCAACCTTCACATCGAATTTGTTCATTTGTTCTTTTGAGTTAAAAATAAAGCACCTGGAACCAAAAACATGGAAAAAATGACATTAGGTTTTCGATTATTTATAATTTTGTTTGAGGTGATGGAGAATCGTTTATTGAGGATGGATCGGTTTTGGGTAAAGCAAGAAGTTCCAATCGCATCTGCCCAGAAGTAAAGTTACAGATTTGTGAATGACAGCATGGTCCTCACAGCTTCGCACAACGAGCGATTTCGTCTTTTGAATACCCTGTTTTGTTGAGGAGTATAAGGAGCTGAAACATTGTGAGTTATTCCTTTTGCAACCAGGAATTCTTCAAACGCTTGGTTTTTGAATTCCAGACCATTGTTACTACGAACGTTATGAACCAGCTTTTACATTTGAAGCTCTATCTGCTTTATGAAGTCCTTGAGCTTAGGAGTGGCTTCTGATTTATGTTTAAGAAAATGAACCCAAGTGAATCTAGAAAAATCATCTATAATCATGAGAATATATCTATTACCACCAATGCTTTCAATTGCAGAAGGACCACAAAGGTCTATATGCAAGAGTCCAAGTGGTTCAATGACTTTCATGTTTACAATCGTTGGATGACTCTTCCTGCTTTGTTTCCCCGTTTTACAGGTTGCACATAGATGTTCTTTGTCAAATTTCAGGAGTGGTAAACCTCGCACATGATCACCAAGAACAAGCTTGTTGATATCTTTAAAATTGAGATGCGAGAGTCTCCTGTGCCATAGCCAACTATCATCAGTAGAAGCTTTCACAAGTAAGCAAATTGTTGGCTTCCCTTTGATGGCATTCAGATTCAGCGGATACATTTCGCCTTTGCATTTTGATTTCAGGATCACAGTTTAGACTTCTTTTCGATTATCTCTGATCCTTCGTCATTAAATCAAACTTCTAGTCCTGTCCCCACCACCAAATGTGAAACACTAATGAGGTTGTGTTGTAGTCCTTCCTGATGGGTTTTGAGCATTCTAACACTTCCTAAGTGTACATGCAACCCTAATAACCTTGGATCTATGTTTGTCTAATTATCATGCAAAGTTGAATTCCAAGGCTATATTCCTATCTAGCATACATGGGGAACAATTTTTAGCTTGAATGATAGATAGAATAACTTACCTTGTAGTTGCTTATGTTCCTTGAAACCTTGTGAGCCTAGCACCCCAAGTGTGATGCCTCAAATGCTTCACACAACACCAAATGCTCTTGGAAAGACTTTTGAGAGAATACACACTTCTTGAAATCGGCCTAGCCCTCTTATTTCACATGTGTACCCGATTTTGGTGGAGAAAGGGATCTTATATAGTGTTGACATATCTAGGGTTACACCATGTAAACCCTAATGTGTCATGACTCTTCATTTCCATGACCCATGGGTTTGTAACTCCCATGGAGCATCCATGGAGCATCCTATGGGTGGAACCCAACTTGATAATCCATGGAGCCTCTTAGCCCACTATACAAGATATGGATGATTTACATAATCAACCCATATATTTAATTAGTTATCTTTTGATCACTTAATTAATTCTAAATTAATTCTTGATCAAACTAATCAAATAATATTATTAATATATTAGAACTTATAATATATTAATAATCTCCAAGTGTTATTTCTCTCATTTAGTCTATCCAATTGCATGGTGCCATGCAACCCAAATGGACCATGCCGGGTCGGGTCAAGTACATACCAGAAATAGTTATGGACTTAGACACCTTATCCAACAGTCTCCCACTTGGATAAGTCTAATAACTATTACTGCAAGTATGACTTCAGGAACCGATCGGCAATCGTAGCTCTTTTCAAGGTTTCTCGGAACTGAGAAGATGATGGTACGCCATTTAAGATAAGTGATCATATAATCCTCTGTTCTAGATATCAGTCGGACAAATACATGGAACAATGTCTTACTTATTGTCCAACAGTTTGTTTCCCGATTTCCGATTTGTTTGACAAAGAACTTAATTGAACACATCAACTTAGTTCTGACCGGGCCCGGTACATAGGTCAAAACAAAATCATCGAGGGGCCCAGATATCAGCTTCTAATCCAAGAAGGAACAGATAAACTTCGACTCATATGTTTGTTCTACCACTCATTGAATTACACACAAAGCACGTTTATAACATCGAGTTACCAATGCGTTTTCGTACAATCAATGCATAACCAACTTGTAAGTAACAAATCATATCTCTAGGTTTGAAGACTTATATGATATTACCGTCTCACGATCACTCGAGATAGAATTCCATGAAGTGATTCCAGTGAGCGTGGGTTGAGTCCAATGCTCAGAACTTATGAGCACT